ACAAATGTTAATCACATAATCCGTAAGCCGTATACATAATATTTCTGTATAACGGCCAATACCAGTCCTACATACATATCGTACGTAAATATATGTAAAGCAAAGTATCGATTCGTGACGAAGGCCGTCACAAGGAAGGAAGGCGTCACAGCGTCGCGCAAAGGTAAAATTAGGATACGTGAGGATACCGTTAACGATAATGGTGAAAGTAGCGACACCCACTTGCAAAATATTATTCGCCTTGTATCCGTCATTCATAAGCCGTTCGCGAATTCGTAATTCGCCATTGTGATTTCCGAATGCACTTTGCAAATTTTTTTTTTTATACCTTGCCAATAACCGCATCGGGACGGGAAGTCATATACCGGACTGTAGTAAATGAAACTGAAAGGTGAGGAGAAAAAAAAATTTTTTTTTAATTTTTCAAAATTTTCAATAGGATCTATATAAAAAAAAGGAGATGACGAAAAAAAAAATTATAAATCGATCAATCACGCGTATATGTGTCCCTTTGGAAAACGCTATTATCATGACAGTTTGGCTTCCATTGCCATTCCCAGGTGACTCTCGTCCACCTACTTTGCCGGAATAAGAGGATATACCGGGTGTCGGTAAAGTCTTGTGGTCAGTAGAAATTATGTCAGCGCTACGGAGCCGACGTATTAGCTCGAGATTTTCGCGTTGTGACATCATCGCCGAGTGCAGCGAGAATCGTGCCACGAGGCGAACCAGCGACCTGGTAAGGTGTGATCTGGTTCTGATGTAAACGTAACCGTTCATCCGATCCAGTATAAAACTGGTAAACCGATGAAGACAAAGGATAGAAATGATATTAAATACGTAGAAATCACGTTAGAATAGAAAAAATGAATTTGAAATAAAAATATTAAGTACAGAACAAAGGATCCATTCGTCTCTACCATGCGGCGCGAACGAACCGTACCTAACCTACCTACCTAACCCATAACGTACACTCGGTTATGGTTTACCTAGAAAACAATTTCAGATTGAATTTTCACGGAAGTTATCGCGAGGCACGTGCCTAAGTGTCTGCGCGCTATAGAAATCGCTCTATTTACTTTTCTAAGAGTTGTCGTATAAATCGTATGGCCGTCTGTGTGTATGCTAAGGTGCTGCCGCGACGGCTGCAAGGAGAAGCTTTTTCGCAACGGCGTGTCATCGTTACTCATTCTCTATTATTCCACGGTGCGGCCAGGTGAAAGGATCTTTTATTCTACGGTGTGGATACGAGAGAGGATCTCTCTCTCTCTCTCTCTCTCTCTCTCTCTCTCTCTCTCAAAGTCGGCGAGGAATAAAGTCTCGAGGGATTATCGGGATCGAGTAATGAGAAATCATCAACCGGATACCTAACCTGTACGGACACATTGGGTGCAGGCATAGGGCGCTGCGTAGAAGATTGGAGACTGAACGAAATAAAAGAGAGACGAGATACGTATACGCGCGTAGACGAGAAAGAGACAATAGAAAAGAAATCAAGAGAAATATGCAAGAGAGTCTCTTGTTACTTTGTTTTTTCTTCATTTCTCTCTTTTTCCTCCGCCTCTCGATCTTCTATCTTGAAAACCACAGTGCCGAAGGTGTACGCGCGTATCTTAAGTATCTTATCATTAGCATTGCGCAAGATCATAATTTCGACTAATAACACGTTGCCGCGCAATTAGCTGGGGAGAGTCGGGCAAGAGTTAAGGAGGAAGATGAAGGCGGAGACTGGTCGTTTGCTTGAGAGAGAGAGAGAGAGAGAGAGAGAGAGAGAGAGAGAGAGAGAGAGAGAGATCGGTATAGTGCGAACAAGACAGAAATTATAATATGCAAGGGATGAGAGCAGATGAGAAAATTCAAGGACAGGAACGAAATTATTATTATTATTATTAACTTTGTGAAAGAACCCTAAAGGCTTGTTCACACGAAATTTATCATTACCGATAAAGATACCTGGCGTATTTGACAATTGACAGCTGCTCATTGTGCATATATATATGTATATAAAATTTATATTTTTCAAAGTTTTATACGATGTAAACGTTTTTACCTTATTCGCCCCATTTTCATTCTTATATTCTCACGGTTTTGTCACAATGAGATTCAGCGGTCATTAACTCACTGATTATGAGTAATACAGGGACAGGAGATTGCCCGCGGTTCTACGCATCGAACAACTCTGCATATACAGCTATACACGACCTTCGGGCATTGTGCGTAATAATTCGCGCGGGAATTTTGAAAGTGCAAAATTCTATAAAATTTCTTCCCTCGCAATTTCACCGATCCGCGTTCAATCTACAATGGCAATCGAAGGGATCGGTACCGACAACAACGATTATCTGTCACAAGGTCGACACAATAAAGTAATAGACGTTGAAGCTCGTGCGAATTTTTTTGTTTTCATTTCTTCGCCATTATGTAAAATCGCAAAGTCACAGAGTCCCGATAAAGATCGGACACCGACTCCTTTGCCTCGTTCTCTCGGATCTCGTCGCTTCTCATTCGCCGCGACCAGCTTCAACAATCGATCCCATTGTTAGCCAGTTCACTTGTCACGCAGTGATTCGCCAATTTAAAAAAATCAATAAATTAATTTCATACTCGATCGCGCATTACGCAACAATTAAAGTCCACCCTGGCAATATTTTTTTTCCAAGTGCCAACTTCTTATGCATCCCAATGCAAAAGAGTCCCCTGAATCTAATAAAGATCCCCTCTATATCCATACGCAATATCCTTATCGATCGAATCGATCGGCGAATAAACGCACGTGCATTCCACACACGGTACACCAGTTCAATCTGATTTGCGAACACCCCATATAGCTCGAACGTGCGGCGCGGTGCTTACAAAATAGTGCGTGGTCTTCGGTCGATCGAAAAATCAAAGTTCTAAGATCGAACTGATTAATAAATAATAACGAATCGCCGAACGATGCGTCACGTTGTATATCCGCAGGAATGTCATTAGAATAAATTGATCCCGACGCACCAATTGGCCACCGAGACTCAGCCGGGCGCGAACGGCTCGAGTCGCGCGTCGACTTTTCAAGAAGTTTTTCAAGGTCAGCCGCGATAGTCATACGTTCGAAGAACGAATGACTCTACGCCTCATCGTTTATCATCAACGATCCACATTAGCAAAGAGCGACTCACACGCCAACCCACGTGGCTGTACGCAAGGATTTTTATATCTGGCGAAAATAATTTTGCCCGCAAAATAATAACAATGCTACGTCCTAATATATTACGTCTGGCTTCGTTTACGAAATAATCGATCCGGTCCCTATAAATTAGCCACCCTGTATATAAAGAATTTTCGCGGAAGAAATTGATACGTCTGGAATGAGGATGGACTATGGCCAGAATGCATAATGCATTTGCATACAAATTCTTCGACCTGCCTTACGCTATATATATATATATATATATATGCAACTGCTGATGGACCTTGACGCACTGGAGACCTTCCGCACGTAAATCTCTCATATGGCTCTCGGTCGCCCACGCATGTTTTTCACGCCACCTAAGAATCCTGACGCGTGACTTTTCGTATACGTCAAAAGGCCACTACTGCTTCCCGCGCGACTGTTCAGTCGCACCTGCATATTTGATATTGCAACTGCAGGAAAGTCCGAAGATCGTTGCGATTCCACCTGCGTTACTTGTTATTCTTGTTTTCTTATGCGTGTATATATATATATATAACATATGGAACTGATACGGATCTTATACCGATAGCGCACTCTGTAAATTTATACAGGACTTTACCGTTCTCTTGCACTATACGCCGAGATACCGGTTTCGGCTATTTACATTGAACCTGGGTAAATGATTTAACGCGTAAATGGAAAGATCTACGTGTCATCGATTTCTGTGCGTATTTAGCGCTTCTTGCTTCTACTACGATCGTCCTTGGAGCCGATCGTCTGTCTCAACATGGGGAGAGATTGCCGGCAGCTTCGTCAAATTGTGTCAACTTCTTCAGAGAGCCTATATATATATATATATATATATATATCCTAGTGTATGAACACTGTATCTAAACGATTCAAACAATATATATATATATATACTGCCGCTAATTGCAAAGCAGCCTTGACAAAATTCTCTCAGACGCAGCATAGAATAATTCACCATTAAATAACACTTATATTCATTATAATTACACGCAAGACCTACGATCACACGTTATAACCTGAAAGCACGTAAAATTCATTGACGAACAAATCCCAGTCACCCACGACCCGTCAGCACGTGAAAATAATTTTACGTTACATCTGCCATTAGCATACATATATACACACATGATTATTCATCGGAAAAGGATATCAATTCCATTCGATAAAAATTCTCCATTCTCCCCGCGTCGTATTCGGAAGGTGAAACGTGCCGCCAATACAGGATCGTTATCGTCGAATCCCCAACGCGGAATCGAGGACCAATAGGAAACGTCAGATTTTAATTTCCATTGGAAAAAGGCGCCAAATTCAAAATTACTTCTCCGAGCATCGTATCCCTTGTACAGTTGTGAATAAAAAGTATTCTCAAAATTTTTTTGAGCATCATTTTAAAAAAAAAATTCAGATCTCATCTCATCCAGAACCTGTTGTTCCGCTCGGGAGATCAAGACAAGATCAACGCCAGTTAATAAGCGGTATCATCTCGAAGGACAATTCTGTCATCGGCAGACAATGCGACGTGATTGCTTATGTGTGTGTATATATATATATATATATATTTGCACGCTTGATATTATACACGTTACACCCATTTTCCCGCGTACTCTTCACGGCCGCGTCAAGACGTACCGGAGATGCTGTGCAAAGGTATACGGAGAACTATTGTCCCACCGGACGCTTCAAGGATCCTGTCTTTTCTTATTGCACAAGCGAGCTTCATCAGAGACTCGGAGTCGCCGCTGCACGGTCTGGTCGACAATTTTGAAATTTTTATGCAAAAAAAAATTTTTCTTACACACTTCACTTTCCATTGTTGCGTATCTTCAGGGTTCATGGGATACTTTAACGACAAGAACATACAGATCGGGTATACGATCGTGTGCGAAATTTATTATTTTTGCACACCCAGTATATGGGATGGTCTATACATGTATGTTATATTGTTATAGGATGATTTGATTACTTGGGTTATCGTGCACGGGGCGTTCACGTATGTGGTGATCGACATGACGTATGAGAATACGTAAATAGACCCGGTTGATATTGCAAATTTTTAATTGCAAATTTTTGCACTTTTACAACCCGAAAATATTTCTTTGACTTTCCGTGTGCAACGTGAGACTGGGATTTTTTTTTTGTTTTTTGTTTTTTTCAGAGTCGTCCGAAGTTAATTTTCTTACGAGCGTGCAAATAATTCGCACTCGTATACAAGCGCGGCAAATGTTATTCGCAAATCTCCGTGCTCACGCCAGTGGCAGACATTCGACGGTGACTCGCGGCCGTGGAAAAACGTGCAAATATGATTTTAATATTTGCACTGCGCTTCTCCGTTATCGATTTTGCGAGTTTGCGATTGACAGTAAATATCTGCACAGTGTTCGCGGCGGAGACATTTGTACGTAAAGAAAAAAAATAAAAAAATAAAAAAAAATTAAAAAAAAGAACTTTGGTGCATCTCGCAATCGCGGCGAGTGACTCGGGACTACGTGTAAACTTGAGGCAAACGAGAAATTGCCAGGCGTAACGCGACTTTGTAGTGGCGTCGGGACGCTTAATCGCTACGCGTAAATCGTCCGTGCTCGAGGACGCCGCTTACCTGTAGGTCGTTTGTGAAAATGAAAAAAAATAAATAAAATCATAAAACCTTCACGAAAGACCATTTAGGGTCTTTGACGATCGTCATTCCATTTGTCGTTTGAATATAACTGTTCGTTACGAAAACACGTGCTGCCATCTATAATATGTCTTTGACACTAAATCATCCGCACAGTTATCGCGAACAAGGTATGTAAATACGTCGGCGTACGTTCGTAAAAGTATAAACGCCCATTTTGCGTTAATTAAAAACAAATTTCGTCGATGGTAAAAAGAAAAAACGACCATCGATTTTCCGTCGATCGGATACAAAAATATTCCCGCAATTCCGACCCAATCAAAAGACCCGGCCGGAGGTGGAATTGCGTAGTATACGTTAATGGAATAAAGGGGATACCGTGTGGTGGTTATCGTAATTGCTTTACAGGGGAATGAAATTAGCTTTGAAAGTGACGCCATTCGTGTGCACTGGCCAATGGGTATACATATACATATATAGATAAATAAGAATTTACGTATATAGGTAATACATAAGCGTACAGAAAAAAAAAAAAACATTCTCCCATAGCATACAGAGACTTGCGTAACACGTGCTATTAGACGCAAACATAAATCGCCATTAGATTCGATAACTTCATATCGTATAAATTAGCCCGTACTATTTTGTCGCTGTGAAATTAGCTCCAATTAAATATCGCAATCGATATCCGATCGAGATATCGAGAGTGTTCGCGAAGGTAACCTAAGAAAAAAAATTGTCAGTCCCTGCGTTACATCGTAAAAATGAAATCGCGCGTAAAATCAAATCGTCGTCCCGATGTAAAATGAATAATCAAAAAGATCGGGAAAATCAAAAAAACATAAATAAAAAATTTCAACATTCATCGACCTGTACCAGCGATGGGATTTTGGATTTCACGTTTGACAGCGGCAACAAGATCAACGAGTGGTTATGGTACACGGAGTTGACGGAGTACATGAGACTGAACAAAAGGCGGGAAATTGAAAAGGTTATAAGCCAAGATAAATTCAACGATGACGTCATCGTCGGGGATGGCGACCGCGTGGATCCCTTAATTCCCATGAGACGCAGCCTCTTCCCGTACGTGGCTCCTTACGTGATATTTCACTCGTTCGATTGCGAGTGCAAAGAAAAATTGCCGTGGAAGATCCGAAGATTTTTGAAATGGAAGCTGAGCCCGTCCTCGCCGAGAGTTGTAATTCGCACGTTGATAAAGTCCGGTTTCGAATTGACGACCGATACGTCGGACTGGTCGGGAATGTGGAACGCAAGTCTCGGTGATCCGGCGAATTTTCGTAAATTGAAAACCCACCAGAAAATAAATTCCTTTCCCGGCTCGTTCAACGTCGGATACAAAAATCATCTCTGGAGCCACGTGAGTCGTATGCGAAAGCGATTCGGCAGGAAGGAATACGACTTTTTGCCGCGCACCTACCTGCTTCCGGGCGACATGAAAAAGTTCCAATCGGACTGGCAGCGTGACGTAGGCAGAGTATGGATAATAAAGCCACCTTCGTCCGCACGTGGCCAAGGCGTCAGAGTGACCGATCAGTGGTGGGACATTCCAAAATGGCACTCGGTAGTGGTCCAGCGTTACATAACGAATCCTCGATTGATAAACGGATCAAAATTCGATCTACGCGTTTACGTGCTAGTGACCAGCATCGACCCGCTGAGAATTTACGTGTACAGAGAAGGTTTGGTCCGCTTTGCATCGGTCAAATATATTCCGGATTCGTCAAACTTGAGCGACAGGTACATGCACCTAACCAACACGAGCATCAACAAGCAAAATCCAAGTTACGTGTCCGACAGTGGATTCGATTCCTGCCGAGGACACAAATGGTCCTTCAAGAGTCTCTGGCGTTCATTGGAATCCGATAGGATCGACACCAGCCAAATTTGGCAGGGCATAAACGACATAGTGGTAAAGACACTGATATCAGCGGAGAGCGACATGAGTACCGCCTTTACGAAAAATATAAACTCGGGTTACTCCTGTTACGAGTTATACGGCTTTGACATTATTCTCGATGAGAACTGTCGTCCCTGGTTGCTGGAAGTAAACATAGTCCCGTCGCTGCACATAGAAACCCCCCTTGACGTGGCCGTTAAAGGGCCGCTGGTGAGGAACGTCCTGAACATGGCAGGATATCACATACCGAGCAACCTCAGTACGTTCCAGACGCGTCAATTGGCCAAGGAGTACAGCAGCATCCTGACCCAGGACCACAGGATGTACAGCATCAGCTTGACTATGTTGGAAAAGACGAAGCAGAGTAATTTCACGTCCAAGATCAATCGCGAGGACTACCAGGAAGCCATATTGGAGGAGTTGACCCGCGACGACCTGAGACACCTGGTGCGATACGAGGACGAATTGACTCAGGTAGAAAATTTCCAAAGGATTTTTCCAACTGGCGAAACTCACGTTTATCACAAGTTCTTCGAGGCGCCACGCTACTACAACAGGCTGCTGGACGCTTGGGAAAGTCGCTACGGTGAGAACAGACAGGAGGGTATCGACAGGATCAGGAGTCTATGCAAGCAGAAGATGCATCTGGTGCCTATAGCGTTCTCAGGGCCGATCGTCATGGGGCGATCCAGAGGCGACTGTTTATTTATATCGCCGCTCGACCCCTCGGAGCCAGAGGTCGAGCCTCCTTAGTGAAACTTCCCCGGGTTGCGCAATAACCAACCACTGTTACGGTGCGTTTCTAACTATAGCCGACTGTCGCCGCGACGTCGTTTGCTTGGCGAGCGCCGTAAATTGGTCGGCGATTCGATCCGAGAGCGACGGAAAGTATTTCTCTACTCGGCGCAGCTGACGGTTATATTGCGTCACGAGCATTGACCCAATCGTCCACAGTCAATCGGACGATCGTGGATCACGTGGATCACTGTGTCGCTAATAAAGTACAATTGAAGATAAGGGCGCTGCACCGGAGACATAGGACGAGGATATATTCAATTCCGTAGTACCGTCACCGTCGACACAGATGGCGGCACCGTCGCAACTTTTCCTATTAATATACAACGGTCGCGCATCCTATCGTCGCTTAACGGTAGCTACTGTAAATATCAGGCAGATGTTTGCTCCGCTTGACAACACGGTTTTTGGCGACCATCGGGACGAGTTTGCAAGTTTTAACGTATCTATCGATTGGACCGTTCGCTTGGCGTTACCGCCGTCTGACGCAATCCGGGGTGAAAGCACTGCCGAGTTACTTCGGCTATGAATCACATCCTCGGAATCGAAAGGTGCCGCAACGCGATCGCCGAGAGAGCCATTTTGATAATGGGAATCGCAATGTTACTGGACATGTATACACAGATATGGTACATCGAATGGATATGCTAGCCCCGTTAAAATGTACCGAGTGTTTCACCCACAATGGAAGTTCTATGATATATCTTTGCGACTTTCTCTACGGAACGGGCTTTACGGGTGGCTTCCATGTGGCACCAGACTGTGGAGGACTTGACGACGCTAAAAAGTAGCAATGGCGACAGTTTCGTAAACAACAGGCTGGAAAGTTTTCGCAAAGACGTATCAGACAGATCTGCATCGCGACGCCCCAGACTAGTTGACATTGCTGAATGATTCGTTGTACAGGTCTTTTTTTTTTTTTCATTTTCTTCATGGTGCCAACTTGATCGCGATCCAGCATGACAAATGAATCTTTATTGCTTGCTATTGTGTACGTGATGTATTAGGGGAGTCGTCAGTTACGTGAATCGATATGTTATGTATTTTGCTAGTTAATGTTACGAGAGTGATAGCGTAATGGCGGTGAGAGTTGGTTTATCGTGTAACTGCAGCTAAAACGTACAGATTGAAAGAGAGAGAGAGAGAGAGAGAGAGAGAGAGAAGAGTCAGAAAAGTATGTCGGAAGGAATGCCAAAGGATAGGACCGGCATCCGTTCAACGTCCGGTCCAACATGGCGGACGAGGAGGCACCGGTTTTTTATTAGCTGATTCTGGAAGTTCTCTGGAAACCTTAAAAATCTGACCTTGCAATCTTTATGTATTTCTTTTTTTTGGTTAATCTTCGTCCCCGTAAATATTTCCCTAAGTACAATTTATCTTAAAAGATCTGAACTCGTGTACCTGTCAGAAACCGGAAGAACCCGTAATATCTTCTGCAACGGTACAAATGGGCACGTGACCTGGTACAGAATTTGACGTATGATTTACAAAAAAAAAAAAAAAAAAAAAAAGTTTTTCTACACCGACCAGATTTTGTTGATAAAATAAAAAAAAAATTCAATTTTCCGATTATTGTGAATTTTTTAAAATACATATATCCAATATGGCCGCCGTGGGACAAATGTAGAAATTCCTTTGTACACCGTACCGATACATTTTTTTTTCAATTCTACTGGCCGTTACAAAAGTCCATGAGCATTCGAGCGGATGCTCACTGACAATAAGTGGAACGAGAACGATTATCGCAAGTATAGTTTCGCAGCGCGAGTAGACGTTTCAATGCAATCCCATAGATTACGGACAAAGTGTAAAATCGCGTGAATCAGGCGAAACACTTAGATTTACGCAAACTCACGTACCGTGATTGGAAATACTTGTGTATAGGGGGGAAAAAAAAAAAAAAAAAAAAGACTCGTAGGTCGCAGTTAAAATGTCAAAAATGTCGCTTGGTACTTACAGTACGTAGCCAGTGACATCAATTCGCAAGTATACGTCACTCGCGAAACTGTGTGAATTGCAAAGTAAAGTGTACTCCTGGCAAGAACCATTAAGAGCGTGATTGTGTGATTTCAATTTCATTATGTATATATAATGAAATTAAAATCACATATATATTTGACTTTACAGTACTCAAACCGCGCATTGAGAGCGCCGAGGACTAATCGTTTATTGCATAAAGGCGAGTTTACAACCCGGAGAGTATGTCATTGTCGAGAGAGTATAAAAACCAGGGTGTCTCAACCTAACCTAACCTAAAAGATAACTGTAATATTTTTCATCTCGCTACTTAGCCTTTTTCGCGATCAAGCCACAGAGAGAGAGAGAGAGAGAGAGAGAGAGAGAGAGAGAGAGAGACAAGGAAAAAAAAAATTAAGCCAAACGCGGAGTCCATTGTTTTCCACATAACACACGTTTGGACATTCGTTCGGAGAAGTGGGCATAAGACAGCGTGACTTTGCCAATCAGAGCAGGAGGCCCATTTCACGGAGAGACGACCTGATGATACTCTCCGAAAACTATCAGTGACGCTAAATTTACAGTGAACAAACAGATTCTTTCTAAATAGTCAACGGTAAATTTTTTTTTTTTCACCCATTAAATGCGTCGGTAAACATTAACGCTTCTCCCGGTGTCAGCGACGATGACATTTTTATACCGGTAGTCGAAGAGCCGCCATTTGTAATTTTTATTGTGACGTAAAAGAGAAAAATCATCGAACGATAATCGCGAGGAAAAAATCAATTGCTTGTCACGTAATAGTTCGCGTCCGGAGACGTAAGTGGCGCAACGATGCAACAATGACTCCTTTGTTTTGGCTAGGGACTTCGGTTAACTCTGATTCATGGCTATGTCGGATAATATTAGAGATAGACTGTGTTGTATGGTTGTACTTGGTATGTACATTGCGTAGGGAGCACGCACAAATACGCGCCCCCAAGTAATTGATATAACGACCTCTTCGCTCGTCCAACACGTACAAGATATAATTGTGCCAGCCAGTATATCGGTACCGACTAATCAAAGCTTGATAAATACATCCAGAAGCATCAATGGCGCATCACTTTCACTGCCCGTTATATTTTCACATTACGTTTCACGTGGATCAATAAAAATCAACGAGGTTTTCGTCGAATTATTTGTACGGACTATAGACAACGTTAGACAAACGTGGGGACTATAGTCTGCGCCCGGTAACGAGAGCTGCATTGGCATTCCAAATAGGCAGAACGGAGAAACTAGGCTGCATGCTAAATTTAACGTTGACAAAGGGAGAATGACAGGAGTCAATCGATATGTCAATGGAATATACGTATATAAACGATTGATGCAAAATTAGCAGCAAATAACAATACCCAGAGTCGATAAAAATTCCTAAGAACAGATCTAGTAATTTTTTCGACAGAAAAAATATTCCCTAGATTCAAAGTTCAATCTTATTGTGGTTGCAGTTCTACTGGTACTTGCATGCGCATAATTCGTGTCCGAGCACGCGTATAGATTTCAATCACGATTACAACCTCCTAATAATTCAGCTTCTCGTTAGAGCGTTAATTACAGATATAAATAAGAGTTCGACGCGCAAGAAGCGCCATTGAAATTCAACCGTCAAAACGTTTCACTGACGTTAACGTATAGAAAGCGTCCATCCGCATGCATACTTTCTTCCCGCGTCGATTACATTAAAAAAGTGCCAACCCCGGTGCGATAAATTTTGAAAAAAGTTACAACTCCTATAATCCATTTTAAAAATTGCATGTAAACACGTATTCGAGATTTTTTATCACCTTTTTATTGTACGTCATTCAAATCCCACGGGTGCCAACATATACCGAACGACTGCACGAGTGCATAAATGCACGAACCTGTGTGAACGTGACTTGTCGTATGCGTACAAACTGACAGACTGACTGTACTTCAAAACAGCAAGGCTGTAAAGTCGTGTTAAGAGCGTGTCCATGGTCCCATATGTGTATAGTCATATGCAAACATATGTATATATGTATATAGGTACCCACTGATATCAATATACAAAGTTGGTACCCGTGTAGGTACATAAATACCTGACACGTTCGCTACATAAATTATCGAACCTGACGAGTTTCGATTTCTACCGTGGAATTTGTGTATGTCAAACGAGCACTCATATATGGTGGCCATGGTTCAATTCTCACGTGTCCACAGTTAAGGCGGGAAAAGTCGTGCGATTGGAAAAGCAACTGTTGGCACGTTTAAAATAATAAAAGAAAAAAGTTCAATTCTACTCACCGTCAGTTGCGTCTTGTCCGGTCCAATTGCTGTTATCTCGATGGCTTTAGGTTCAGGCGGACTTGCTCTGTGAAGAATGGCGGCAGGCACCTTTGCCACCAGGGACAATCTTCTGGTGAGTCTCCTGCCTAATTCCGCACGACGACGATCCCGTACACGAGGTCCCGTATTCCTGTAACCGTTGAACTCCATTCTCAGTGACATTATTATCAACTCTTTGCCTTTCTATTCTCTCTCGACCGGTTACGTGGACTGCTCCGCGAAACAGATCATCTTCGTTGACACTTTAAAAGAATTCATCTGTCACGCGAATATCACATGAAAATTCACCGATCGCAATTTATACGAATATCCCGTAACGAGAGGTTACAATTGTTAAATCACTGTATTGTTATTGTCCGTGGCTCTGTCGGTTAACCAAATATTATTTGCGGTTGTCTACACACGTCGTATTATGTAAAACACTGATCAGAGGAGGTTGAAATATCAAGCCGGCATGCGAGCAACACATTCCAACAAAATCACATATCACACACGTTCTTCTCTGCGTATGCAACAAGTCCCCCGCAGTGCAACCGTTTTCAGGCTCTCGCTGCTACTAGTTTACTCACTTTTGTTTTTTATTCTCACAACAGTGCACCGTAACGTATACCGATAGGCCGACTGCGATATCGCAAAGAGAATATGCGTTAACGACCGAAGAATGGACGCAGCCAATGCTGCTCCACCAAGAAAAGGAGAATGTAGAATTCAGCTGGCGCTCGGTTTGACTGGCGCGCTTCGACTGAAATTCAATCGGCAAACTCCTGCGCGCTCTCACTTGCGCACGGCCATTCTCTGATGTACTGCCCGACACGCGGACGCTACCGGAGATACACGAAGACGTGGGGACATCGTTGCGAGCAGACAAACCCAAACATTCCGTTAACGCTCCGGAGGCTGACAATGGGAATTGAACAATTTTGTTTTTTTCTTAACTTCAATTCCTGTTTAAACGAACAAGTGATTTTTGAAAACTGAGAATTCGAATTTTAGGCCATGCTTTGCGAATCGTTATTCAAGAGTGACGGTTATCGAGATCTATTAATAGTACTGTGTGCGGTTGTCTTGTGGCTGTGCATTTTTTCTTTACTGTATTGGAATAAGATACGGTGCTTGAAAATTATACTTTTGAATTACTTTTATCCACTGGATGTTGAGTCATTGTAAGGTTTCCTGTGTGGACTGTCGGAAGGACTACTGATTGAGGTTTTGATTCTAGAAACGAGGTCGGGGTATGCTATTCTATTTCTATAGATGAAAGGTCGTTATTTTAATGCGCGAGTTTATTGTGAGAGATTTATAAAAGTCGATTTTTCGTCCGTAGAACGTCGATTCATTACCAATGGAATGTTCTGTGTTCATTTATTATTATTTCTTGTGAAAATAAATGAAATACCATTGAGCGTCTGTACTTTTTATCCTGTCAATATACGTTTAACCTTTAATCGTTTATATCTTCCATTTATACAAAATGGCTAATCTTAGTTACTTAGAAATTCGAGGAACGTTTCAATTACAATAATCATTCGTTCATATTTCTAATTTCCGTTGCGTCGCCCCGGACATTTCACTCGCGACTCCTCACCTGTTCATTGTGTTTTCGAGTATACGTGTCAAGTGTACAAAATTCGTCGCGGTTATGAATACATTCGTGAAAGTGGGAATCGCGCTACAGAATAAACTCACAAAGAGGAACGAAATTGGCCGACAGAAGCTGGCGCGTGAAATGGCAATTTTGAAAATTGACGAAAAATCAAACGTGAGAATGTTCGACACGGCTAGACAGCGTTTTCGTAAGCGTTACAAGAAATACGAAGTGGCGCCACTGTCGTCCGGCTCTGACGTAAGACCCCACCGTCTGATTCAAAAAGCATATATTCTGCGAGCACAAAGTTAGGAAGGATAAATATTGAATTTTCTGTATATAACGATGCGTGGGAATATACATATGTAAACGTATGTATTAATTACATCGGCCATTGCAGATGAGCCGCCGGTGAGAGTTAGAAAACGAAAGTATCTAGGAACGTATTACTTTCCGGTCCATAGACACTGAGATAACGAGACGCATTAGCATCGGGATGGTTTTCAAAAATGATACCCGTAAAATATAAAATAAAAAAATTAATGCAATGATACATCAACCAAGACACATATACGCAATACGCATATACCTTTGACACATTCGAAATAAATTGTCTCCCTTATATATGCATGTCTAGATATTCTATGGAAAAGATAAGAATTTATCTAGATCAGATACTCAAACGTTTCTGGCTTTGACCACCAAGTACCTACAAGTCCCAAAAAATACATTCCAATAGCAAAATTTAATTTTTTCATGAGGACGCACTGTGATTAAAATATATAATAAAAATCTATGTAACTATAATCGAAAAATTTTCTAATCAAAGGCCCTAGACGTAAGAATGTACGAGACACACAATCCTGGCTTTTGTTATCACTCCACTGGAGCAATAAAAGAAAGTATCCTGTCAAATTCAAACAAGAGCAAAGATCCGTACGAAGACGTTCGGGCGATGCTATTTACGAATGGCGAACTGGATCCCGAAAAAGTACTATGTCTTCACCTATTAACTGCTCACAGTCCTAAATCCCTAGAATCAACGAGCAATGCAGTTAGACCCGTGACGTCACTACTGGAAGAAGGTGAGTCAGTTTTTTAGACGTATTACTGACAGTAGTAGTAGTTATATGGTACACAGTTATCTTTTTACTCCTATTCTTAGCACACACAGAAAACATTGCTTATCTGCCTACCTTGGTTCAGGTAAGAGAAAGCATTTCACCGGTCCCTGGAACAGCATGCTGCCTTGTTACGTGGTGGATGTTAGACACGACATAGATGTCAATGAGGATCTTACAGAGGCACTCAGATTCCATAAAGATCCACGCAGAGTCACCCAGGAGCACGAGACAATGAAGGAGTTCCAGATGAAGTATCAGCGATACGTAGAAAATAATGCAGACGTAGGAATGGCTTTGTGGGCCAACGAGAGACACAGAAAAATGATACCGAATTCATTAGGAAGAATGCCACTTATACCTCCGCACGTTTATTCCATTTTGGATCCCTCACACGAACTCAGAGTTAAACACGGCACTGCCGAAGGATCCCGAAAAATAAGGTTAAGGACGGACACCGATATCGAGCAATGGGACGCGAAAAGTCTGTCGTTTCGGTTAGACGACAACGAAGATGTCGCTAGCGTCGCGGCTGGCAGTTCTGTCGAAATATTTCGACCATCCAATCTCAGGAGTCCGTCCAGATCGATTTTTGGATCAAAGTGCAAATTCGAGGGGGGTGTCACAGTGCTGAAAAGTCGAAACAAAGAAAATGGTGAAATCTTAAGCATAAAGCCAAGTAGCAGAACGTTAAAAGTGACATCTAGGTGTTGCAGCGTGAGATCTCCATTTGAAAAAATGTTTAACGGTGACCGTACGAATTCTTGTAATTCCGTGACTTCTGGTACGATCAGTCCGGGTAGTGACGTCACGCGAAAATATCGAAGATGCATATATTTGAATTCACCGATAAGGAACTTTAAACTGAGAGGCAAGGAATGTCAGACTGTGGAAATTCTGGTTAATAATCAAATTCAAGCACTGGTCCATTCTGTGCTGAATGTTCTTGAACGCGTGAATCCGAAAAAGATGATGAGGATCATACAGACGGCTCAGGATCCTGATGAGATACGTCAAATGGTAATGAAGCCGGACATTCAGCTCTTTATGGAATCATTGTCGGGACAACCTTTGGTTTCCTCGCCAGAAAGCTTTGTAATTTCTAAGGCTACGGTATTAGATGAGATTGACCCGAGATTAGAAAGATCGCTGGAGAAGGAACTGGTAGCCATGACCCTCGAAATGCCACCGGCGCCCAGTTTGGATCTTCTTGTCATGGAAATACGAAACAATCTCTTCGTAGAGCCTAACAAAATGGTTACGTCGAAGATCAAGGAGAAGGTAGACACTTTTACGAGTCTGAAAGAAAAATATCATTGGATTAATGAAAAGGAACTTGAAGAGGAAGAAGAGACTTTTGACTTCGATGATACTTATGCCAGGTAAAGGTTAGCATTGGGCTTCATCAATTCATGCGACTTTTAGGTACATCCTCCTGAAATTCACTGCCAGTATGACGGGCATGATTGTGTCTCACTCTATCGAATGCAGTTAGACAGGGACTCTGATACTTTTAGTACGGGCAGTGAATTTCGGAACGTGCTGTTTATCTACTGTGTATTACTGTATAAGATAAAAATACTAATTTGTTTCCATTACGACTGATCGTTTATGGATTTCACCTGTAGCGATGTTGATTGTTAATTTCTTACATTCATGTATCTTCTTTCTTGCTTTCATGAGTATTTAAGGTCACTGGTAATATGCGTATAGGGGTCGCTGAGTTTATGATATTAATTTCATTCCAGACAAGAACCAGTTGAAACATCAACTGTCGAGACTCAATGGAAATTACCACCTGTGTCGGTAAAGCAGGAACCGTTTCAGGACTTATCATTGTCGCAGAACCATGGAAAGGTAATGGTTGACAAGAAGCTGATAATGGATTCCAAGGATCTCGTGATGAAATTTAGATCTAATAAAGATGACATAATGAAGAAGATTCAACAGAAAGCAATGAATAGTCAGAATTCCAGAAAAGAAGCTACTACTAAAATTATTAAGAAACGTCAGAGCGGAAGGGACAATGCTAATCACAAGAAGCCATTATCAAAGGGACGTATAAAACTAAGAAGACATATTACATCAGTACCTAAGACGAATCTTGAGATAAGAGCGAGAACGGATCAAAGAATTAGAAAAAAATTAGAAGCTCCAAAAGAAAAATTAAATCTGCTCCAGGAAAGGGGTCTGAGAGGCAAATTCAATCCTGAAAAAGTGTCTACCTGTATTGGGAATGGAAGAAAAATATTTGAGGATGACGTCAACTCGAGAAATGTAATAAGACCAAGGGTCAGGGATTCCGTAATGACTTTTGGAAGTATTTCGAAGGCCGGAAGTTCATGTTACATTGGTATGCAAAGTCAGGCGTCTTTGAAGATAACGTCAGGAGATAGGCCGTCTTCGCCGAAGTGTCAATTCAAGGTATAGTAGAGATTTAAATATCCAACACTTATCTTGTTGACGCTACTTGGAAATTGGTTGATTTTATTGTTTTTCTAGCCATGGAAAGTGATACAGGATACTGGATATTTGGATCCTGATCGGATTATATTACGCAGAATGACGAATACTCAGAGAATTTTGGTTGGACAAATGTGTGCCTCATTGAAGACCAGAAAAATTAATACAGAAGGTTGATTATGGTGTGTTTTTAATTATTATTATTTTTTAATTATATAAGTCTCTTTTTTTGGAAAAGGATTGGTCAAGGAAAGAACTCCGCTTGCTGCTTTGATCACGCCGGTCTTGTCCCAGGATAGTATAAAGATATTGACTAAGGGTACTATGTGCTTAAGGTCAAACACCTTGAAGAAGATTCCGGAAGAGAAAGAGGATGCTGTAGGGAATATGGAGAAATTAACTGGACCATTGTTGGCTAAGGTTTATACAAATGTTTCGTTTTGATTATAAATTACTTCTATTTGATATTACAAAGCCTACGTTATTTATAGGTACGGCAAGAAGTAGCAGAAAATGAAACTCAGAAAAGACTACGAAATTTTTTAAAAGATAGAATTTAATTAGGCGATCTGAAAATCGATTTTTTAATCGTAAATAGTTTATGTAATTTTAGAAGATATAAAGAATAAAACTAATTTAATTTTACCAACCGAAATCCTGTTGTATAAATGCCAGCTGATAGTAAATGGGGTATAGAATGTCCAACTGGGTTGTTCACTGAAGGTAAATAGACTAAATATTTCAGGATGTTTAAATTGTAAGAATTATTTGTGCCAGAATGATTTAGCCAATCACGACACACATGTAATGTGCTAAATGCGCGTGCGTGTGGGAATTTACGTACCGTGGCTATTTTGATGCAGGTTAAAGTATTTTTTATGTTGACTGATGTTGACAGATCTGAAAAAATCATAAAACAATGGATAAATTAATTACAAGATCAATATTTGCAGCTCGTACTTTGGCTTGTCGACCGCTATTGGTTTGCCAGTGTTCGAAGTAAGTTTTTTACGTATATCACAAGTGTTCTGCACTGAACAATCATGGCAAATATTTGGAGGTTTTAATCCATGAATTTAATGTATCTCTTAAAAAGTTACTGTCAATGTATAAACGTTCTTTTAGGATTGTTAAAAATGCCAGACAACTGCATTCCAATTGTCAGATGTCTGGATCAAAGGCTCTCTTGCAGGGTGGCAAGGTTGGATCGACTTTTGCCTTGTCAAAAAGAAACATGTTTATACAGACACAGGATACACCGAATCCAAACAGTCTGAAATTTCTACCAGGTGTTCCTGTGTTAGAACAGGGTCAGACTATGGACTTTCCAAATGCAACAGCAGCATATTGTTCGCCGTTGGCCAAAATGTTATTCAGAATTGAGGGTGTTAAATCTGTATTCTATGGATCTGATTTTATAACTGTAACAAAGGTCGATGAAGATGTTGATTGGAAGGTGTTGAAACCTGAAATTTTTGCCACGATTATGGATTTTTATGCTACTGGGCTTCCAATATTGACAGAGGAACAGCCTTCTTCAGATACTCGTATGTGCATTAAAAAAATATGCCGTAGTGTATTTTCGATGAATAAAAGGTATTAAAAATTATGGATATGGTTATGCTTATAGAAATCAATGAAGATGACGATGAGACTGTACAGATGATAAAAGAATTACTTGATACTCGAATACGACCTACTGTCCAAGAAGATGGTGGAGATATAGTGTTTGTGGTAAGTGAGCAATACAGAAAAGTAGCTTGTTACAAAATCCACTGAAACTTAATGTTTTTAGGGTTTTGAGAATGGTATTGTGAAACTGAAGATGCAAGGGTCTTGTACCAGTTGTCCCAGCTCGGTAGTAACTTTAAAAAATGGTGTACAAAATATGATGCAATTTTATATACCAGAAGTGTTGGGAGTTGAACAAATAGAAGATGAAGCAGAACAGTTGGCTAAGAAAGAATTTGAAAAATTAGAGAACAAAGTCAAAGAAAAAACCAGCAGCAATGAGTAAATCTAAGTCGTAAAATTGTATAAATTGTAAAAAATTAGGTGTATTATAATCACGATCTTTAGCGTTACTTGTTTCAATAAATATGATAAAGAAAAATAAAACGTTCAATTATTTTCGGATGTTTTTCAATTTATTTTGGTATCGTACAAAGCTTTTAACGGCTAGTCACAGACACTTGCCAGACACGAATGTTGTGGTCAGAATAACCTGCGAAGAGGGTTTGTCCATCCGTAGACCAAGCAAGCGACAAGCACTGCGGAGGTTCGCCCTTGCTAATGTTCGAAACTACCTCTGGCTTAAGTTCATTGACCATCTCCTTGGTCTCAAGATCCCAGATCTTGATGGAGGGTCCGAAAGCAGTACAAAGCCAGTAACGGTTGGGGCTGAAGCATAATGCAGTGATGATGTCATTATGATCCAAGGTATGCAAGTGCTTGCCATCATTCAAATCCCAGAGCATGGCTTTGCAGTCCTGAAAATAAATATTTTATTAATTGCTGTACAACATACGTTCATCATATGAACATTGGTTACAAATATTTCAGCCCCATATCCGTATTAAGACACTCATGGACATCGTGGTCTCAAGATGTTTTCATCATTTTTAAGATAAACATAATATAGCTTCAGATTGAAAATCTTAAAATTTTATTGCTCATAACTCACCTTGCCACCTGAAGCACAAAGTGAACCATCGGGAGAGACAGTTACTGTGTTTAGGTATCCTGTGTGTCCTTTGTGGTTGATTTTTAGACGGCAGTTAGTCAAATTCCAGACCTGTGCAAAAAAAGTATTTCAATTAAAATAGTTCATTTTAAAAATCATATTTAACAAACATAGAATTAATCATCAGTCCCATATCCGCAAACACTCATAAAAATCATGTCATTTTTAGAAACTTTCATCATGTACAATATTATTCAATGTCTTCTTAAATCATTGAAATTAAGATATAATCGTGAATTACCTTGACAACGCGATCCCAACCAGCAGAGACGATAATAGGGTTAGCATGGTTAGGTGAAAAGCGAACACAGCTAACCCAGTCAGAGTGTCCATCATCTTGGATGGTGTACTTGCACTCGGCAAGAGTATTCCAAAGCTTGATAGTCTTATCCCGAGAACCAGAAACAATCTGACGATTGTCAACGGAGAAGGCAACGCTCAGAACATCCTGAGGACAAATATAAACAAGATCTTGTTTTAAAAGAAATACAACTTCGGCGTAACTAAGGGATCGACCAGTTGTTTTCCATTACTTACGAAATTGGAGTGCTAGTTCTACTTCTGCCTCTTCTACATACCAAGTATAAAAAAAAATATAAAAAAAAAAGCTTCAGTTTTTTCATTTCTGGATAATCACCAGTGTTGGCATTCCCGACGCCTTGGAGTTTTAAAAGTTTAGAAAAGGAACTTTCGTTCCATTTTCTATCAGTTCATTAAAGTGTCTCTCGTACTATATTCACACCTTAGTATGGTCTTCGAACCTCCTGGTGGTACGACCAGCAGCCAAATCCCATAGACGCAGAGTCTTGTCCCAAGAACCAGAAAGGGCGTAGTTACCATCGCTCGAGAGGACGACGTCGCTGATGAAATGGGAATGTCCGTACAAGCGCTTGTGAGGAATACCGTAGTTGCCTTTGTCACGAGTGAGTTTCCAGACGATGAGGGTCTTGTCTAATAAATATCGGGATATTGAAATACGCACAAATTGAATTCTGAATTTAAAAATCTGGTCATATGAAAGCATGCATTATTAAAAAAAAAAGCACCAGTAGCTTAACTTTGAAGAATTTTGGAGTCATAAACAGATGTGAAAAACTTACCACGTGAGGAAGACAAAATCATATCCGGATATTTCGGATTCGTGGCGATTTGCGTGACCCATCCATTGTGTCCACGAAGGGTCCCTCTTAGCTGAAGAGTTTCCGACATTGCTCGGCCGTCTTATTGCTCCTTAATTGTAGGATGAAACTGGATTCTATCCTACGAAGTTCATTCAACGATACGCCGAACGAGAAAGGCTGCACCAAAATTGTCGCCGGGGAAAATAGTCCAGAAGGAGGGGAACCATAGACTATACGATGGAACTGTTCATTTTTCTATAGCAGCGCTCGTTTGGCAAAAGGGCGAACTAAAACGATTCCAAGCCTGATTCCAGTTACGTTATGTTTTTCACAAGTTGGAAAAGTTTTGGCTTCCTGTGGAGTTCAACCCGGCAAAATTTCCATAAAGGTGTTTATGAATATTCATAGAATAACACTTTTAACGATAAGGTTCACTGACTACTTGAGAATGTCATTAACATTTATATATGTTACAATTCCAGTGTTGTTATACACAATACAAAAAAATGATACTAGATGATTAAGAATCACTTTTAGGTTAATATGCAATGCCCAGTTATTCTAGGCATGATAAACATATATAACAGCTGATTTATTAATATTGACATAATACTTAAAAGACTTTTTCAAATTGACAAGTTCAACGAAACCTTGACATGAATTTTTTTCAATGCAGCCGCTATCCAAAATACTCGAAGCTTCTGCATAATGGCTCAACTCCTGGATAAGATCCCTGACGTGGACATAGATGCGAATGGTGTCTTTAAGTACGTCCTGATAATGGTGCATGACGATGAGAACAAGCAGAGCAAGCCAATCGTCAGAGGCTACAGCAGGGCAAGCTGGCATGGTGAGTCAATTAATTTCATTATACCTAAACAGTACGCATCTTAATTGTACTGTTTAGAAAATAACTAAAAACTTGACAGTATGAAAAGCTAGTAACTGGATCTGTTCTTCTGCGGTAACATTTGTTTTACCAACTTCCATGTATCAACCACAAAGAGAGAATCAGAGAACTGTCATAAAAATCAGAAAATCATTCAAGAATCTCCTTTAGTATAAGGTACTTTAATCCGATTGAAAGAGAGATAAAGTCTCACATAGAGCCAAAGCTCGTTGCGTCAGAATAACTTATTCTATTGGCAACTTATATCGTTTCTTAGCGAAACGAGCGTACGACCCTAAAGTTTTATAGGCGATTTTACTTATATGTACTCTCAAGAAATATACGTATATATACACATATATGTATACACACCATACATAGTATCCATTTCGTTTATACCTGTATAGCATATAAAATAGTGGCAAGAAAATATCAATTGAAAATTTCACTTTGATTCCATGAATCGTTCTCCCTTTGCCATCAGGATTCTATTATGTTTCATATGTATAAAAATAAAAGAGCAAGATCGTTTCCTGCATAAAAAATTGCAGTAATAAAATTCTTACATCACGCTCACTTCATATACATTAAATTGGGGAAGATGTAAGTATACTTTAAAACAGTTTATGTATGTATACCGCTATCTTTATTCAGACCGTTAAACATTTTATCATATGTATCATAAAAATCAATCATCTGGCAGTCGATCTATGTCTACATAGCCCATAACTTGCTTGTTAAAAAAGAAAGGAAATGGAAATTTCGAGTAAATCGGCGATATAGTTACATTTATTGACATGTTCCGTCTATAAAGTGGGGGGAAATTTCAATTACACTTAATCGAGTCCTCGCTCAATAAATTGATTCGTATTTTGATCACACATGAATTCTGAAGTATCTACGTGCACAGTCTCACACACACATACACACATAATTATATACATAAGATATTATTTACAGTGCGTTATACATAGTCTCGTACATGTTACGTTACAGTCGGTAAATAAATAATAGACCATTTTTTAGGCTTTCATTAGTCTCGAAAATATGACAATATATTCGCGTCAGGTCTTTTTTCCATTTTCATTAATTTCTATAGTGCAAAAGATTCAATTCTTCTTAGATAACAATAGTGTACAGAGTTTACGAAAATAACTTGATCTTGATCCTTCGAGAACGCAATTTGCATAACTGTTAAAAAAAGTGATTAAAATTTCAAGGATGAATTTTAAGACTCGATTAGTGAAACTGTTGATTTTATCCACAAGAAAGGTCGAGGAGCGGCGGTGCGAATGAAATCTGCGACGAGAAAGTTTAAAAGTAAAATCCCAAAGGGATCGGGAGATAACCATAGGTTAAATATGACCTGAACCTTATACAAAGATCCCTGAAGGATTATCTTTATCTCATGTTAATCTTCACGGCTGATTCTTAGCGTCGTTAAAATCCAATGAAATCTCGTTATCAAAATTGTTGATTACTCCTGACACATTTAATACAGATATTATCCGTGAAAATTATATAAAGAAATTGACAGGACAATTCTTCATCGACATCGACAGTCTCGAATATACTCCAGGCACGCAATAATCTTCCAGTGAAAATGGCAATTAATCTAACTCTTATCTTTTTTTTGATATATATATATATAATTTTTGTTTTCAAATTCGCCATTCTGCTTCCGCACCACGACTACGAGGATCGTCTGAAGCAGCACCAGGCCCTCTGTATACTGAATCCTTCCCTGCAATGCTTGTTGCTAGTGTTTTTAAGAATTTTCGTGTGGTTGCTTTTGGTTACAGTCCGGGGTTCATCTCTGAGGACCACCCCGACCTGCCCTCAGGTACTTCCGCCCTCCTCGCAGTGCTCTATCAGATCTACGTCGGCTATTGTTCTACTACCCTTATCTTCTACACCGTGGGTAACCTTCTTCTCGGTTCCAGTATCCTGGACAGACTTATCCTCTTGTGGGTTCAAATTCTCCCGATCCCTTTCCGGCGATCTAATCAGCTCCTTGAATGGCGACGGGAAGCCAATCAGGTCCGGATCAGTGTTACTGTGCATCAGAGTGAATGGCAGCTTGAGTGAGACCTCACCACCCATTGCCGAGATCAGTAATTTTACCTGAAAGTCATTCACTCATGTAAAACGTACTTTGGGCTTGTGTTAAGAGTGCTTTTGATTTTAGGATACAATCGTTGGCTACCTTCACGTAGTAGGAGACGTAGATGGCAAAAACATTCCTATCCTCGGGTCCACAACCGGAACAAATGACCGTAGACGCGAGGGTGGCTCCGGCTTTGGTGTAACTATCTTCAAGTGCTATCCAGTTTTTGGTTGAACCCTTCACTGGCCTCAATGTATAAGTCTTATTGAGACTCGAGCCAGGACCTATCGGGCAGCCATCTTGAGACGACACTAGCGCCACGACGTTCTTGAACTTCCCGTTACTAAACATGCAGACGTCCACGTGCTGCACTACGAATACCTGAAACACACGTGTAGGAAGTTATTTTTATTTTACTAAATTAATCTTCATACTCTTCCCACTTTACTAGAGTTCGTCTGCTTTTGGCTCGAGTAACTTTCAGCTACGGCTGTTTGGCTCGCTTCGCTAAATTGGATAATTGAAGGCAATATTTCCTTAGGATTAAAGCCGCTTTCGCACTCGATTAACGAGTACGTTAAACCGTCCTTCGCGAAGGACCCCGTGTTACCCTTGAATTTGAATAATTGCCAACTGTATTAGGACACACCCGACCTTTCATTTGGCGCTCGTGCACTCAACGGTCGAATACGATATTCAGCGAATAAATATAAAAGCATTAAGCTGCTTCGTCCTGCGAGTAAGAAGACACTCGAATTATTATTATTATCATCATCCGCAATTTTTCCCTCATGTAATTCTTGAGCGATAAAAAAATTCCTCGCACATGATAAAGATATCCTGTAATTTAAAAAGAAAAAAAATTTGCGTTCGAGGTATTAATTTTTTTTTTTTCTTTTCTTATACAACCTACATCTTTTGTAATCGGTTTCTATCTTTGCTTGTAATACTACGGTACAGCAGCCGACCGTTCATGTACCACAAGGTTCATTGTCTCTACTCTCGTCTATGGTTTTCCCTTCAGATGCAGCGTGCGCTTATGCATATGATAATCCTTCTGTCAGCCCCTAGGAAAATATGGGGTAGAGTTATAGATAACCTGCTTCGTACTCAGGCCGATATCCAAGTTTCTTGCTGTTTATCGTACAATAGTCTAGCATAAAATTTATATTGGCTTCATAGGAGATGATACAAATATTTGAAAAAAAAGTTCTATAGCTCAATCAACGATTGGCTATTGTTTCGAATGGTCGCCAGTTCACGATGGTGGACAAAATCGAATACGCTTTGTTTCTGACTCCACAGTAAATTATACACGGCTCCGCGATAATTCCGTTTCACTCGGAGCAGGGATATTTCCATGGCTATTATCGTTCAGCGTTAAGCCTGGTTTACAAGACGGTGTTTCGAAACATTTACTACTCTATATATGAATATACATTGATGGAAGAGTTGCGTCATTCTTCCTTCTACGTTTTACAGGACCAAGTCTAAAGCGCAATTGGGCTGTAGGACGAAATCAAAAAATACATATAGACAGTTTGGGAAATTTTGTATACGTAATACAGGTATTATACTTATATGCTATATATATATTATGTGATATTAAAAAAAAAAATTGCTATAGATTTTTTTTTATGCTATCTGTCGTTATCATCTTTCGTGCTTTGTTATCTAACTGATTGAGGGATTCGAGATTGAGAAATAAGGGATTGAAATTATATTGAAGCTCCAGACGGTCTTTACGTGATGAATATGCATTGAATCTCACTGTTACCCCCGTTGATCGATCTAATTCAATATTCTTGATAGGATCTACCTAATGGGTAGTATATCTGTGTAGAGTATCCGATCAATACTGGAACACTACTTTGTCATTGTGAATCAGGCTTAATAGTCATAAACAAGATTTCTGGGTATGATTTCATCAGTTTTCACAATTGTGTTCCTGCGATTGTTCCAGCAAGGGATGATTCTGGGATGGTCCCCGAGGGATGAATTTTCCAGGAAACGCGAATACGGTTGATAGTGCCTTTAACGACGACTCATTGTGCGTCTGCCTTAAATCCCTTTTCACTTAAAGCACACTCGAGATTCGGAGCCCCTTTCTCGTTATTCGTCTTGAAAACGTGACTTGGGAAGCTGTATATATAATTCATTGATCATCTTTACGACCACTTCGCAGCTGAATTTTACCCTGGAAATACGTAGCTCGATCGGATTCCTTTATGATCTCTCGTGGTAACATTCCTTAAGATCTAGGTGATTTTTCTGAAGAAAAAAAAAAGAGGAAGAATGGCCCAAAAAAAAAGTCTTCCGTGAGTTACCAAAAATATGGAGATAAAGAAGACAAATGGAGTTAAGGATTCTTCTTAAGGATCATTCCTGACCCAGTTCCTAATCTTATGAAACTTGAGGTTCACTTCCGTCGAATTTACATACGCAAGTAGTGGTTCCAGGCTTGAATTACATGGGCAGACTCAGGCAGGTGTGACGTGACACTGAAGTTCAAGTGAACTCGCCTTATTACAAGAGACGCCTGGCGTCGTGGAAGACGCTATCGATTGTTACAAGGGGCAAGACCAGGTCTAACGACGTGGAACGTTCAAATTTGAAATAAGGGTCTGGAGGCGAAGAAGAAGAAGATAAAGGATATAAAGGGAAGTCTAGTGTCAGATTGTCAAGTCTTTTTATTCCTATTGTCGATAATTTTTTTTTTCTTTCTCCCTTCTGTAGCTCCTCGACCTTCCTTCATTAAGCTCCGAGTCTGCCCGACGATTTCACTGAATCTGCATCGCACGATAACGAGCTTAACCAGGACTCAATCCGACTCTGTCGAGACGAATCCTTACTAGCGAGTGCGGATGGGGCTTAACAAGCTCCCGTGATCCGTTAAAGCACTCACTTATGAACGTGGACGAGGTTGGTTAGGGACAAGGACCTAAAACAGTTCCTGGGAAATTTGATTACCGGCCACCACATTCCTTTCATCCGGATGATGATGAATCCTGGATCCTTTTTTATCAATTGGACATCATGCACGTGGGTCCAGTTATCCCGGTTAGTTATTACTTCTCCTTTCTCTCTCTTTATCAGCCCTCAGTCCTTGTGCTACTTTTTGTCTAGTTTGCAAGCGGCGCACAGGATCTGGGCAATGGACGGTAGTAAGAAGATTCAGGGTCTGTGGAGAATTAGCAGCAGTTTTGCTGTATAGCCCCGTGAAGAAGGACCGGGATATAGCATGGGAGTTAGGGCAGAACTGGCAAGGGCGATGACTATAATCCTACTGGGAAGGGCCAGGACTAAGTTCAAAAGTCGAAAATCTGGTTGCACGAGTATGGAGGAAGATCCACCGTAGGAGATGGCTTGTTTATACGCCTGTGAATACTGTAGGGGATCTCAGGATGTTCCGAGTGACACAAGAAGATACGACCCAGAGAGGAAATTCAAACATGAAATATGTACACGTTCAGGCAACATGCGTTCGATGGTCGGGACGTTCGATGTGGTTTTTGAGATTTACGTGATCTTATGTGAATAGATATGTAGTTCAGTCCACGGAAGACTTTATACAGGAACAGAGATTTTTTGTTTAATCTTTTTTTTTTTAAAAAAAAAAAACAAACCTTGTAGATACAAGGATAATGCCCGAGACAGATATGGCGGTAGAGATTCAAGATGAAGGAATAAGAAGAAAAAGAAGATTAAGGATGGCCGATGGACAATGCACTTTGTGAAGAGAAAAAAAAAAAGAAAATTTTGCTCAAAAAGCGTTTATTTTCTCGGTTAATTTCCCTCGCAGAGTGGCTGCTCGTAAAGTCGTCATCTCATATTTATTAATTCTGATGAATAATTCAAGGAAGGCAGCGTGCACCGAGTTATTATACTTGTAGCATGGAAAATACCGAGTTTATGGGAGACTAGACGCGTTTGGAAGTCTGTTAGAAAATTATACACCTGTTTTTAATAGCGACTAGTGTTAGGGCATATATATAATAATATAAAATCACTATCCAACATTAATTGTCATGCGAGTTTCCAGTTTCTACGATTTTATAAAATTACTAATAACCACGAGCTGAAACTTATAATTGACTTTGTATGTCAGGTACATTATTGCCTGTAACGACGGCGCGTTTCAATGGATACGAAATATTGCTGACGTTGAGAACTTCAAGCCTGGCAACGTAGTAACGAAAACTACTAAGTCAGACGGCACAGGCTAACCTGAATCTAACTAGTTACTGCCATGAGTTCACTAGGGTATCCAATCCTCAAAAGCATCTGAAGCAGCAGGATGACAGAGAGTGAGTGTAGCAGTGGAGGAGATAGACGAGAAAAATCAAAGTGCTTTGAGGTTAGGTTCCTTCACTGATATATCTCAGATGCACAAATTGATTCTGTTTTGAGTAAAAAAAAAATATCCAATTATTTAGCGCAAAGTAGATTAGACCACATACGTGTATCTACGGGGTGTCACGTAAGTGCTGTAAGATTGTACGTTATATTACCTTGATCCTCTTTACAGATTTACTGCTATTGTTGCTGACGTTCACGTGAACCATTATGGGATCTCCATGAGCGTAAATCGCACGATCCAGTCGCGCCTCCAGTCCCACTCGGCCGTCGCTCAATAGAAACGGTTTTTCGACAGCTGCATGGGGTGCTGATGGCTCTGCAAGAGAACGAAGATAATGAATCCGTCGCGTCAATAGAGATACCGCTGGCAATTGGATTGCAGGGAATTGTTAGAATAAAAAAAAAAAAAAAAAAAAAAAATTACAAGGGACACCCCGTATACGCCAGGTGGAAACTTATTCCACTCACCGTCGTCCTCCGCTATCTCATTCTCAGCTTCCACCACTCGTGCCATCTGAAGCTTACAGGGTTGAACCCTTGCACTTAGACTGGGTGGCACACTGTATATTGTGTTCATTGGCAATGGTGGCGGATTTGTGCGCTGAACGACACGTATACCCATTCGCACTGTGGTTTTCCTATGGAGCTTCTCGTCGGCGCGGTCAGCTGCGAACAATCACGAACACCCTGTATAATTGAGTAACCGGCACGGATAGTAAACTGTGAACGTAATTGCTGTGAAAATTTTTACACGTAACGAATAAATTAATTGACGAGCATTGTTCAGGTATATACGTAGTCTGCTTATTTTTTAAGGGATCAAATTCATCTTTCCATGCTTAAGGGTTGATACGTTAATAATATTCATACGCAAGTCTTCACTTCTCTAACACACTTTATATTTCTCTCAATAGGTATCCCAAGATGGCGAGTTACGGATTCTCACTTTTTCTGTACCCCACATGCCTATGTATATTTTACTGGAGGGTTGTACTCTGACAGAAAGATTCAAGCGTACCCTTAGGCTGGTAAAGTTAGAATTTTTTTATGGGACTTTTTTTTTTCCCCTTTATAGAGGAAAGGTTCAACAAGCGGGCAATCAGGGTATAACGAAGTGTCTGGGTGTCGCCAGGGTTTTAACGAGCGGTCAAAATAACAGTGATCAACATTCACTAATTAACTACCGAAGTGGGAGGGAGGGGGGGGGTAGGTAGTCGTAGCTTCCACTTATTCTGCATCGCACTACTTGGATTTTTATGGATTTCGTCGTTAATTTCGTCATTCCGACGTTGGTCGTTTCGTTAACGCTTGGAGTTTCTTCGAAACAACCTGGGGACAAATTGGCTCAGTCTGGCAAAGAGAAATTAAATAAAATGTCCCTAGGCGAATAGATGCCGTTACCCGCGCCGAAGCCCGTGCAAAAGTATCAAGAAACTTGCTGGAAACGTAAAAAAAAGTATGGCTTCGCGCTAATAAGGTTTGGGAGGAAAGTTTAGGGGGATTTTTTTTTTTCCACGAGTTTTCAAAATTTACTTCAGATCTAGAACCGTGACTCACTTGGACGATCCCTCGCTTAATAGTTTTCAAGTGTTCGCTAAGTTAACATATGTACATACCATATCTGTTTTGGGTAAAGCTTTCTAGAGTTACTCACGGATTAAGTTCGCCCGACTCTGTGGACTTTCTAAACACCCGGTTAGAATTTTGCAGCTGTTTCGTAATTAAAGTAGGCTCATGCGCACGAGGGAACTTTCGTTTAATCGAATTCACCTGAAAACGAAGGACTGCCTGCTTCGTCGATAAAATACCTGCTGGGACCTTAGGCGATAGAGTGGTACCGTATTATGATTAAAAAAAAAATTGATAATGGCTAACGGGTACTTCGAGGTATATTACAGGGGGGATCGGGGTGGGACAAAGGATACTACATCATAGTAAAAAAAAAAAAAAATGATAATTACCGAATGACAAAAAAAGAAAAAACTGCTAAAAATTTATCTAGTTCCATTGATATCGTGTGAAGGTGGACGGAGTTAAAAAAGATTTATCATGATTCCCTTACGCTGAATAGGCTCACCACTAATCCTACCAATCGTTACGCCTCGCTAATGATAATTGCCGTTTGCGTTCACATCACCGGAGATTAGCTTTTACAGCGAGTCCACTGATTGGTTGGGTATAATTTGATAATCGCAAAATTCTCCATATTTCATTTGGCTCTACGACGAATGATTTTCTTACTGACAATACATTTTTTCACACTTCTTTTTTTTAATGCCAATTTTTTTCCGATTAATCATCGGAACCGTTCGTATGAGAACTTTCAATTCCGAGGGCATTATTTGCCACTGTCGGTACAGTCGATCGAACAATTTTCTTACCGACGTATGCTCGTACGTCATAGCTGGTACCAATTGGGGCGCCGTTGTACTCCTTGGCGGGAACCAATTGAACGGAAGGCGGTGCCAACGGTGTCACCTCCATGGTGAATGCATGAGCGTTCGAACCTAACCTCTTTATCAGAGCTTCCTGAAAAAGAAAAAATGGAAAAACTTATGACACTGGTATAATTAAGTTTGGTTAGGTTCGTTTGCTCCCTGGTCAAGGCCGCACGTGACGGCTTTTTCTATACTGTCTGACTATGCCACAGGTTCGATCCACTTGCGGCTGACTGCTAGGAACGTGAACTACTTTACCTAAGTGTACAGCACGGCGAACTTCCCTTTTGAGAAACGAAACTTATGCCTGAAAATCGTGAGTTAATCGACACTTTCGCTCTGGGGTCCATTATCGCGACCTTCTAGAACAAAAGTGCCAGACTCCCTGGAGGCTCGTTATCTAACGCGTTTCCGATGGCGGCTGGAGTGCGGTACCGGGGGGGCAAGTGGGAGGTTAAGAAAATGACAAATCAAATGAAACGCACTTTGATCGTAATATATCCCCATCTGATGGTCCTTAAGTTAATTCAACGAGATTTGATACTTTATTTTCTACGTCTACTGGAAGATGCTGCGTAGAGAATTGGGGTGCGATTTTATTGTCTTACCGAGGGAATGTCACGTGGTCGTATCTTTGAGGGAAGGATTTAGATAGACCGTGTAAACAGATCGTTGGTCTTGTCTGGATACTTCGACGTAGCTGTTGGTTCAGACTGTACGTGATGATGAGTAACTATGGTTACTCAGGTTGTTACCCCCATTTGCGTAATGACAGAAAATTGTGTTAGGAAAGTATCTTTTTTCTTTATATATATAAAAAAATAAAAAAATATAATTTTAACTTTTTTTATTGATGGGTAATTATATTTACGTCCTGGTGGAACGTGCTGTAGGTATTAGTGAGGTTGGTATTGATCATTTTCAGGCAACCCTAAAGGGAAGTTAGGAAGATTGTACCCTATGAAATTTTTTTTTTCGTGTTCAGTATATATTAAAATTTTTCTATATTCTCCATTACTCCTTGTATTGCTGTCTCTGTTTTTGTTTTCTCCTTATTTTTCACACTTTTTTTTTCCATCCCTCACTGTCTCTTTATCTCGTTCAAAACATACCCTCGCTCTGTTGTGTATCGTGGGGGTTTTTCCTATTTGCGTACACCCTTAAAACTAAATCAATAATGCCTTTCCACCCTTGAAGGAGGAGACGCGTCTATGTCCATTAGGTCTTTCGAAGTTCATGAGTCGTCCCGAATTTACTTGATCCGACTATATATATATATATATATATATATATATATATATATATATATATATTTTTGAATAAAACGAAGCGAAGGGGATGATTGGAATTTTTTTTAGTATACAAACGTCCTTAGTCACTCGAACAGAATTTCCATCGTGGAGTAAGTCAGACCCCCAAAAAAACTTTTAAAAAGTAAAAATGCGTGTCGCGCCTTCGTTGACACCACAAATATTACAATGCAATCAACGCGACAAAAAGAAGTAAGATCAGCTGGTCGGGTAAAAACTAAAATACAAATAACATGTGGAAAATAAAAAAATTGAATAAAATTAAAAAAAATATCTGGAAAAATTTTTCAAAAATTGAAAAAAATTCCACAAAATCCGACAAGTACATAAGTATATGTTTTTTAATAGAATGATGGTCTCTCTAAATCTTATAGAGTACTTGTCGGATTTAGTGGAATTTTTTTCAATTTTTGAAAAACTTTTCCAGATATTTTTAAAAATTTAATTCAATTTTTTTATTTTCCACATTTTATTTGTATTTTAGTTTTTACCCGACTAGCTGATCTTACTTCTTTTTGTCGCGTTGACTGCATTGTAATATTTGTGGTGTCAAGGAAGGCCCGACACCCATTTTTACTTTTTAAAAGTTTTTTTTGGGGATATCCCTTATATTTTCGTTGTATTACTGTATTACAACATTTATTGCGTCAAAAAAGCCTGACACTTGTTTGGACTATTTGAAATTTTTTTTAGTACAAGTCACTGCTATATTCTTGTGGTTCAATTTTTCCTCTCTTACTATTATTCTAGGCAAAACTGTCTAGACTGGGAGAAATCTACACGGTGACAATAAAAATTAAGTTTCTTTGTATAGAAATTTATTTACAATGCTTTTTCTCTATATTTGAAAATCCCGCCACTCCCCAGCCAACACCTGTTACCCACCCCTCGGCCTATTTATTTTATACGAACCCTACGAGGCTTGCAGCAACGAACAATGTACACTGACAATCTCCGACAATAGAAACATATACGCAAACCACGTTACGTACGGATCGATAAAACGTATTCGCACATTTGCGTCCTTTCTACGTGCTACGTTATTCAGATAAAACAGTGATCCGTATAGCTCAGTGAAATCATTACGGTAAATCGAATGGGCAATCAATTAATTGGACACGTCATACAGAATAATTAATCCGAGCTCCAATTTTTCTCTTGTACGTCACAATTATTTTTTTTTTATACACAATTATTTTATTACAGTCCAGTCCTTTCGAACGACTCCGTTATACATTTTTTTTTAGTTTTTTTTTTTTCCCTAGACAAATACTGATTGACGTCAAAGACAGTTTTAAAGCGTTCAAAAGCGTCAGCCAGGAATTGGCATCCGGCTGCACTTATTGTCGAATGGCACAAGGATCCAGAGTTGGCGTGGCTCGACTCTGATTAAAATGAAATCTGCTTTCAATGCGACTATAAAAAAAAAGTCGGATGTGAGGGTGGACCTTGACGAATTTTTTTTTTTTTTTTTTTTTTTTTTTTTTTTTTTTTTTTTTTTTTTTTTTTTTTTTTTTTTTATATACATCGAATCGAAGGAATTTTTCTTTTTGCCTTCATTTATTTTATCCCTGTCCATCTTCATTGCCTGCCATTATGTCATCTCCAGCATCTGTCATTATCATTGTCCACTATTTGACCAATGATATATACTCTTTACTTCGTCTCTCTTCGGGGTCCATACTCCAGGGGAAATTGGAGCTCCTGGTGATTGATGAACAACCACGAGGAATGCGAATAATAAGTTTTTCTATTCCGTTAGGCTTCACGTGGCTGCTCGTCCCACCGTACAATAGATTATGGTATACATATATACATTGTATGGTGTATATATATATCCAGAGAATTCTCAAAGGAAATCAAGCCCATTCTCTGGATCCGTTCATCTTATCACTTTTTTCTCTTGTAACAGGTCATCGACGTTTAATTAATATATCGACTGGCAATTTATTAATAATTCACTCTGACGTGTACCGCTAACGTTAGAAATTTCATAATCATCGATAACGCAATCAATAAATTTTCGGTGATTTCTGTTGGTGAATTGAAATTCCGTAATCAGTTATTCTGATTAACGAGGTTGATTATACATTACGGAGGTTATCGGAGCAGGACAATAATGATAACAGTATTAGTCAAATTAGCGTTGCGAGTCACAAGATAATTCATTTATTAACGTCCTTTGATAATATATAATACGAAAATCAATTCAATCAGTTCGGTGCGGTCTTTTGACTCTTTTTTTTTTTTTCTCTTCAAATATCCAGTAATCTCTTTTTTTATCGCTGTGACGATTTAATCGATAATGAATTGATTGAAAAATTATGTTTCGTCCAGGTGAACCAAACCTGACGTCTCAGGCATCATTTTTGCATCGAATACGTATCTTATTAATGTTATCATTGCCGAGATAATAGGAACCGAGTATGTCTTCATCTCGCGGCACGATATCATTAATGATTTATCGATCTGATTCGAATACCTATCGATTCTTATCGAATACATTAATCGAAGTCACGAAACCAATTTCCGAAATTATTTTCGGATTACCCAAGTCCCATAAGAATTATTGACGCGCCCCTATCGCAATAAGGATACAATATTATTACAATTTTTGGAAACTGATAAATTTACCTTGTACACGCATAACCGTAAGGGAATGAAATTCGTATTTTTTTCATATTGAAAAAAAAATTGTTACGGATCGACTATCCGTATGAATACATGATATCGGCCAATATCATTTCAATAGTCACGAATGATTGATTTTCATAATTTATGATAATTATGATAACAGCACATATAAACATTATTCGCGTGTTTCCGATTTCGTCGGATACACCAAATTAGGCTGATTGAAAGATTTATGCAATTTCGAAATTTTTCCTCCTTAAATACTTTTCCATATGAATTACATTAATTCTTACGTAAATTTTATACCATGCGGACTGGACGCTGGACTGGACTCTTACGCGCAAGGGATCGACTAGCAATTTTTTTGACAGCTGCTGCACATTTATTATCACACGTCCTAATACGGTTCAATTTTCTATTTCGATCACAGTTGAATGGAATTTTTTGAAAAAAAAAAAAAAGATTTTCAGTAAAAGAAAAATATTTCAGATTGAACGGCTTCCTCCGTGCTAAGAAAGGCCAAGAAGTTCGAAATGGCGTAAAGGCTTAGGGAGTTAAGAAAATCGTACAATGCCGGCTTAGCAGAAGCTGCGGGGTTTATGCTTTTACAGCCTTGAAGATTTTCAAGAGGATACACCAGTGACTCTCTGTTTCGCTGAGCCAGTATTCTGATATTATAAGCCTTTAAGATTTTACCAGATTCTTCTATCCCATAACGCAAAACTATAACGTTCAATTAAAAAGGACAAAATTAATTTCTCATCCATTAACGCTATATATATATATATATACGTCAATTAATTAAATCACTGTCCGATCGATTGTTTAATTAAAAAAAAAATATCAGTTACCAAATTGACCCTCCAATCGCTATTTGGCTTAACCCAGCCATTTATGAAGGACCCCCCCCCCAAGCATGCTCAAAGAATTGACGCAAATTAAAGCCGCTCTGATAAAGCGCGAGGATTTTGCGATTAACCCCAGCCTTATCACGTACCGGTTTTAAACGTCAATTTTACTCGCTCGGCCCTTTAAGGACACTCTTCACGAATTTAACGTACGATTCAATGTCCTGGCAGTAGCCAAGCAGATTCAGGATTCTAAATATCCTACGCCAACGCCGCGACCTACAGATTTATCATATATATCCCACTTTTATTTTCGTGGAAGAAAAAAAGAGGATCGCCACTCCATAATCCTTTTCCAAGTCCTTTACACATATGGCTGTATATATTTTTCTTCGTACGTACGACGCTACGAATTCGTATCCTGGTTACGCAATCAACGAGTATGTTATCAGTATTCCGAAATACCGGCCACGAAGTGCGCAGGACCGTAGAACCAGGATCTCGATTGTAGGCCGTAAGTTCAAGGATAATACACACGCCTTGCAGGTATACCTGTACGTAACTACCTACTTACTTATCTAGCTATTTACCTGCCCGTGGTAACGGGGCAAGGGTTTGCATTCTGCGTTGGGTAATACCTACAGTGCAGCTTGATATTACGTAGGATATGCAAGAGGATGTCAAGGTTAGCCCGAGAGGTAATCGAGTGACGTAATCAGATTCCGTGACGTAGTATAGGCACTCGGCGAAACGATTACAATTTTAATAGGGATCTCGCAAGGGTTTCATTCGGTCCACGATGTACGAGTCCGGGATCCTTGGTACGAAAAAGTTCCACCGACTCTCGATCGATTAGTTTTACGTTTGATAGTTTTTTTTTTTTTTTTTTTTTTCAGGAAAAAAGATCCATACAAATTTAAGCCTCCCAAAAATATTCATTGGACCCTGTGACTACGTTTCGTATCATCACAGCATCCCCATTGACTACCGAGTGTTCAGAATATGACGACACGTTAAATAAAATTCGAGGACTCCGGCAAGGTAGGCCATAGTCAGGGTGGGGATATGGGGTCAAGGTCAGGGCACGCTGCTGACGTCATTCCTTGTCTTTTAGCGTATACGAGCGAAAGGACTTTTCGCCCGCCGGATTGCCAATTGACGATGGTTGTCGGAATGGCCGTATTACGTCATTGGGAGGG